TATTTTGAGTACAACTGATTTTGGAGACATCATTCCTTTGGGGGTGAAAATGAATTTTTTGCATATTTTTTTTATCTGCCAGCCTTTCAGAAGCTTTCTTACACCATGCCACCTAGCCTATAAATAGAGGATGTCGACACCACTGGTCATTCGGGTATCTTCGGCAAATTGTCCGCTAAATTTTGTCTGCCAACTTCACACCGGTATGAACTTGTTGTTGGATGGAAGTTATAAGGGACTAAAAAGGAATGGCAAAACCTGAACAAAACATGAATATTTTATTGACAGTATATACTAGACAGTAATAACAGTAATAATCATAAATAAGAACAGGTAAATCATAGCACATGTTCGCAACGTCCTTTATTGTTTGGTGTACATTGAACTCTGCTTGATTTACCTGCTTCTCAGTCTTCCATACTCGGTGGCTATGCGTAATTTGAGGTACCCTGGTCTCGTTACGAAATAATTGAAATCTGATAATTTCAAGGCCTACCTAGGAAATTTCGTTTTTCTGAAATAACTAAGGTTTGACAATGTCAATGTATGACATATGATTTTTCAAATCAGAATTAAAAATCCGATTCATCTGCACAAAAATCCAATATGACGACTATGAGAAAAATAAAGCAGATGCTGGAGGAAAAATTGCGAAACATCACATTGAAATTCGAATACTACCATCTTGTATAAAAGAAAAAGTGGCAATGGTAATGGGTAATGGGTAAAGGCAGAAAAAGTTAAAACAATTTTGGGAAAATTCGGTTTTCTCCGTCTCTCTCCGGAAGTACTTTAATTTCTAAATTTTTCAAGCGGCATTATGTTGATTGCCTTAATATCCAACTTTTCTCCATTTAAGCGACTTCGTACCTCTTACAGTTTCCAAGGTCCAATGGTGAGGGTCGAATTTGAAACAGCCAGCAGGTATTTCATGTTTCTGAAGTATTTCCTGTATTGGGTGAATGTTCTTGTCAGAAATAAAGATCCATTCATAGAAATATGAATTTTGAAACCCTTTCCTTTATTTCTTTTTCGTGAACTTTTTAAATATATGTATATTTTTCAAAATTTGAGTTAAGGTAACAAATTGGACGAGAGCGAACGCAACTGCTAACGCAGTATGTTATTGTGTAACGCGTCCGCGGATCTGGGCAACACGTCCAAAAAAAGATTGATATCCAAATGAATAAATAGAGTCGATGAAAAAAAAACAGGCTTATTTATGAAGAAACACAAACAGAATCCCAATGCACGTAGTCTTTTATAGTCTGCAACTTCACTGGTACCGCTTTTTTAACTAATAGTAGGTACTGATTTCGTTTGCTCAACTAACCGTGTACAACGCTGTTTCATGCTTGCTGGTAATAACCAGCATACTGTAAGTGGAACAAAAAGACGGAGCAAAATAACTAGTATAAAGATAATAAAAGTGTGTCAATTGTTTATTATTAGTTACTAAATGAACTCAGTAAAAAAATATAAGCCAAAGTACCACCCCTTTTATTTTAGTATATTCTAGGTGTTCATTCTGGAATGGTCGTAGCTGGAGTTGTTGGAATTAAACTACCTAGGTATTGTTTCTTTGGAGACACTGTTAACACAGCTTCAAGGATGCAATCGACTAGTGAGGTAGGTGAATAGCTGTTATTATGTTTGTATATAATCTATTATCGTATAGCTAAAGCAAAATCCGGATACCAGTTAGAGGTCAATGTCAGAGTTAGCTATCAAACCACTAAATGCTTCATTCATAAAATAAATGGGTCATACGTAGTTAATATCAAAGCTCAATAACAGAAAAAGACAGGTATATGTGGTAGTGATTAATTTTGCAGATAACGTAGCATGTGCCTACTGTATACAAATTCGTCAGAAAATGGTTGGTAAACGTAACTGCTATACGTTGTGGGACTTTTCGATACATACTAAGATTCTATTACTTTGCTAGTTGCTCATCTTAAGTCTTTGCGTCTAAAAGTATAAGTGCTGCTGCTTTCATCTATCATAATGCTACTGATGATGCTTCTTAGCGTGCAAGTTCGACCTAGAGGAGGTACTTTAGTTATAGCATCATCTCTGATTTTGTGCTACTTATGCGATCACCGTGCTGTACTCATACTCATACAAATCCAATAGAAAATACATCTTTGTCTAGTCATTATTATGCAGTATTTGGAAAAGGAAGAAATACTGTAATATAGTGCCTTAGTCGAAATACCAATGGAGAATAAATCGTTGAAACTATATACATATTTTTATGAGGCTATAACAATATGTAATAATCATTAAGTACTAATAGTTGAAAATTCCAAATCTTACAGCCTGGCATGGTCCATATATCCAAAGTCACAAAGTGTCTACTACCACCAAATGGATACGTCTTACGAACTAGAGGATTTGTGAAACTGAAGGTGAGAAAATCGAAGCTACAACTGTATGCACTGTAAATGATTAGTGTGCGTACCCTACTATTTAACTACTTTTGTGTTGTTTAATCCACTAAAATATCCTTTTGTTCGCTGTTACGCTTAAGAGATAATTGAAGACATATGTGGATAAAGGTGTTATGTCACAAAATGCAAGTTTAGAGTTATTTAGGAAATGTGATTTGATTTGGAACTTTTTCATTTATTTTATGGTTCTGATTAAAATCACTTGTTGGATATGCTGAAGTATTTTTATTGTATTAGTTTTAAGATGCTGAAAAATTATTAGTTTTGCAACCGCAAAAAATGTACATATTCCTTTATCCACTGAAAATTAAACTGTGATAGAACAACAGATGTGGAAAGAAGTGTCAAATACTTTATTATTTGAAACAGATAATGTTAACAAAGTGTACAATATTAGAAGATACGTGTTTAAAGTGCCACTCTTTTCTTTTTTGGATCTGGTAAGTTCTCATGTATTATTCCTTCGTAGTACCATCCGTATGCTTCATCTACAAACTTTATTTGATATTTGAGGTTCTGTAGCTTTTCTGTAGTTAAACCTCCAAACTTTTCCTTTATCCTCTTTGGCTGACATTCTGGGCGGGTGGAACTTTGCACTTTCCAGGGCACCGCGGCTGCTATGAGGAGCTTAAAATAACTTTGTTAATCCAATTTTTGGACTGCCTGAGATTAGTAGAACTGTGTAAAGCTCCCTCACGTAGATTGTTCCACATATAAACATGGTTGATAATGGCTATGAATTCGTCTTGTTCCCTCAAAGCATCTACATTCTGAGCAAGAGTATTCAGAACATCATCCAAGTGGTGTTTATTAGATAATAAAAATGGAGTCTTAATATTACCTGTGTTGAGTGACAGTTCTTGGGAGTAGGTTTTTAGATTGAGATCTTTATCAACAATTTAAGAGTGCGTTATAATAGGGGTACAGTAACGCTCCTATCTGTCCTTTCGTCATGGAAGGTGAATGCTCAAATAATGCTGTCCTCAGCAAAGCGCAAATTGCATAGGTACTCTGGTGTTTTTTGTAATCACTAAATCACTACGAGGGATGGCGTTGAGCCATCCTTTGCACCCGTTTTCATTCACCGGGAATGAAAATACATGTACCTTAGGACCTTTTGCGTAATTACCGGCACGACTAGGAACGTAGCACTTGTAATGCATTTTGAAAACTTAGGGAAACAATCGCGAGACATAAGTATAAGTTTAAAACAATAATTTAAAGTTTACAAAGAAACATACATGATAGCAGCTCAGAATTCGAGGTTAGTTGGCTGCTAGCAGTATTTAGGTATTAGATTGCGGTTTTGCCACATATTCAATTTTTGCATGAAATTTTCCCAGGTGACAGATCGAACGTAAAATCAAAACTGTATTCTTGACATTCTGAGGCCGATCAGAAGGAATAATCACATCATCATTGAAGCTGTGCAGGCCCCAGTATATCTTGCAATTTCTCCCATAGGGAGTTACAACTAATTAGTAGAGATTTCGAAACTTCATAAGAATATGTATAGGACTACTCTGCGTGACATCACAACCTTTTCGCAGCTCAGTTGTTAGGCCTTGTTCTCTCGGTGGTGTCGGTACTACTGGCCGGCCGGCCTACTACCGCCGCGCCGGTGCGAAAGGGTCCCGAGACTGTCCGTTAGAGAAGAGTTATCGATCGGATGGACAGCCTTCATCTGAACAGCATCGAGCATGAATAATATCGGGGCGGTCGAACGTCAGACATGTGAGCAGTCTAGCTAGGTCTTATCTGGGTCTTGTACAGAGTGAGTAGTTTATCTGGAGAAAAATACTCCTTTTCCCGAAACAAATAGCCTAGCTTTTTCCCAACAGCTGCCGCTATTGTTTTCGCTAATCTGAACACCGACCAGCCGAAATAAACGGTTCTTTGATATCGAAACCGGATGAGCGCTAGGGTGCTTCTTGTAAGTCAAGGTACAGTACTGTGTTTTGGAAGCCATAAACTGTACCAGATTGTTGCGTCTCCAAGCGGTGATAACCTCCATGTGTATCATCAGAGAGGAAGTCGCCGCTTTAACCAGCGCACGGGCAGATATTGGCTTGTCACTCTGAATTCCTGCAGGGCTTCTTCTTTTCTGCTAATAGTTTGGGAATTCTTTTACCTCTACTCTCCATATTCTTTTTACACACTATAGCATTAAATAGCCGAAATTTCAGCACTGCAACTTGACACGCATTTGAAACCCACTATACTCGCAAATGATAACCTCAAGGTTGGTAAGGCAACTAACTTATTCGCATATACTTATTTACTCGAAGGAGGATATAACTCTTTTATCAACTGAAATAGTCGCAAATCTCCCTCAACTTGCGATCTTTTTCAACTGAATTTTTTTTACAAACGATTATCAATATATATAACTGATAACAAGTTACATAGGTATGTGAGGGGGCCGAAAACGGCAAAAATGACAACAAATGTGACACAACACCTTTATCCACTTAGGTTTTCAATTATATGTTAGAAAAATTTATTGTATTTAATTTTTTGAGTTAACATTTAGCATTTGAACCAGAATCTTTATCATTGTTTTCCAGGGAAAAGGAAGCATGGAAACATACTGGGTCTTCGAAAATATCTATACTGAAGAAGGCTACGTTGATTGAAGGCAGATATCAATATTATTGTATAGTATTCATGTATATATATATATATATATATATCTTAAATCATTAGATTTAGAAATAACTTTTAACAAGAGGTTTACATAAGTGACAGTTACGGTGTCTCACCGGGTATTGAACAACAGGATATAACAGATTTATACAGTCGTATTGATGACTAAGTATTACAAGAAACAGCAAAGACCCTGGCTAAGCAACAGATTAGCGAGAAGTTGTTATCGAATGCTGATGCAGCGTCTAGTGCAACATTGTATATTAACTGCGTGGTTCATATAGCATATTACATATACACCTTCGGAAAAACCATTATTATACATTATGATGAGGAAGAGAGATGGAAATATACAAAAGTATGTAGGTGCGTGAAAGACACTCGATTGTAGGATCCTATCTGGCAGCGTCGGAGTGTGAGGGACAACGGGGTAAAGTAGAAGAGTGATAAAAGAGAGATGGCAGAACGGGCGCTGGCGCCTGCCGCTTAGACGGATGCGCTCAACAAATGCGATTTCTCCCATTCGCAGAGTTGTCGATACCAATATGTCATATTTCTAAGAAATCTAAGTCTACCCAAATTTCGGGAAAAATAGCTGCGGATTCCACATAAGAGTATTCCAAAAATGGAAAAAGTTCAAACTATTAAAATTGTATTAATGTTTCATGGTTCAAATCATATTTTTCATGTTTGGATATTGTTGTATAAATGATTTTGTTATCACTATTCTTGTTGCCAGTAGAGATACAACAGTATTGAGAGAAATCATGGACCGCTAGATAGGGCTACAACTACCATATGACTATCAAATAGTAGTGATAAACAGGGTTTGTTTATAGCACAGTTGCCTGGTGTGGCAAATTTGCGCCATAGGGGCGATTTGACAACTTTGAAGGACAACTATAACGGGTACTATGGTGCCCGGTATTCGGGAATCTGGCAATACCTGATGATTCCTAACGTTTATTACGCCAGATTGTTTGCTGACTTGCGCAGTACAACATGACAATCAACGTGACTGAGCACCTGGTAACCCTGGTTTAAGGTGTTATATTTAAAGAGCTTGGGGCAGTTAGGTATCTAGGTCACATTTTTTAATGTATTTAGAGAAATCCGTAATGTTGAGTAAATACTAGATAACGTTTCTTGCTTAGTATGCTGAAATTTCTACAATAGACGTACATTTTGAGAAACAGAGATTTGGTGACGACAAAATCGTAAAAATATAACGCATTTTCGTAAAATAATTTCTTTGTTGAAAAGACTGTGGCTTGATGACCCATTGAACGAGTATATTGTCCCGCTCCGCTTTGAATATTCGAAACACTATACTCCAGCAGCATTCAGCTTCAATGTTATCTTTATGAAGTTCTAACGTCTAGGCCATGCTGATTGAAAGCTTGAATGAATCAACACTTAACTCTAAATTCCCCACAATTCGGGAAGCTCTACTCAAATTGGCGACACAGCATATCTGCCCATTATTCTCATTCGTGATACAGGTCTGCGGTCTGCTGCAAATTTCAGTATGCGTTGAGTCGACAGAAGAAGTACAGTAGATGCGCGCATTACGCATCAGTTCGATTGGACGTCCTGTGAACCGATTTCGGTGATTTCGAGATTTCACGAAATCACCTAAATCACTCTACTTATTTTTATGAATGGATAATTGGTTTTGTAGCAATAAAGGTTGCGTCTCATAACAAAAATAAGAAGATACCCACTCTAACAAAAAATAGTACACTCTTAAAAATGTGTAACGAAAATAAAAAGACATTCTAACAAAAAATAAGTTCTCAAAAATAAAACGCAATAATGAACACAAATGTTTCAAATGGTCCTTCACAGCTGGGGCTCAAAAACGTCTCCTTCATTCAATGAACAGTATGTCAGGCGGTTATAAAACTCCTGACGAACTCTCAAGAGGGTAGAAGGCTGTATTTGCCCGAGCGCTTCAACGATTTTCAACTGTAGGTTATGCAAATTGTCTGCTCTCTCATTGAAAGTGTAAACAGTACTTTTCACATAACCCCACAAGAAAAAATCATTGGGCGATAGATCGGGTGATCTAGGAGGCCATTTTATTGTTCCGTTACCGCCAATAATCCGGTGGCCGAACACACTTTCAAGGTAAGTGTGTACGATCGCCTCATTATGCGCCGGGAATCCATCTTGGGAACCAAATATTAGCGAGATCAATGCCAAGCTGCCTAATTGCAGGAACACAAAGCTCCATTCGACGGTATTTGTCTAAAGGAAATATTTCTTGAACCGTTCCAACCTTGAAGCTATGATAGCCGTTGCGATGCAAAATATTTCTTGTTGTTCTGGGTGTGAAATCGGCAATTGGTACCATTTCAGCAATTTTTCTGCTTGAGCATGGCTCAGATACTTCTGCAGCGGCAGAAACAGCAGTTTCGATCTTCTCCCTTTTCTCGCTAATTTTTGGTTTCCAACCTTCAGGGTGCATGCAGCTATGGCACTTATGTAAGCAGTCCACCCTCTTGAATTTTTCGTAGGTATTTATAACCGTTGCGTGAGACGGAATTGGCCGATCTGGGAAGCGTACCGCAAATAATTCAACAACCGCGCGTGCTGAATTATTCTGGATTTACCATTCTATCATTCGAAACTTTTCTTTTTGCGAGTACATTTTTAAGATATTTTGGATTAAATAAAGACACACCTTTCCTACACAAAACCCAACCGCAGAGTGAGTCATGAATCCCTTATCGTACTTGGCGACGGCACGCGCATTAATGGTAGGAAATATGTACGAATAGCGATGAAAGTAGATGAGCCGATGCGCTGTTGCCAAGAAATGATTTCCCATGTATAACAATGGTTTTTCCTAAGGTGTATGTTACTGTGACGGTCCTAAATTAGTGAATGTCGACATTCACCGGTGAGTGTCGACATACACCAAAGACCGAACGGTTTATAAATATCATTATACTTTCGGAGAATCGCCGGTGTATGTTGACAAAAATAAATGGGTCGCGGTGAATATCGAAAATGACCTGTTGTAACTGGCTCTTCGCCGGTACCGTGTTGCCTTCGCTGCGCATCAGTCTTACGAAAGGTTTGAGAGCGGGTGCGTGCAAGCTTGTTAAGTTAATTTGATATTAGGCATTATATTATTTGTAATCAATGGCTACTGCAGTACGTCGTGATCAGTTTTAACAAAAGAAATGTATTCTAAAATCGTGTTTGAAGTGACTTCTGCGAAAAGTGAGTGCAGTACACCTCTGGACTATAGTCATTTAAAACGTTTTGACATATTTACTAAAAGATAGTGATGATGAAAAGCTAATTGTGCCATTAAAACCAGGAGAAACTAATATCCAGTATTATATAAATGCAGAGTTATGTTCCGTCCTCGTCGAAGTAAATATCTAGAATACATAGTGTAGTATCCTCGTAATAGTATCCAACCGCCCGTATTTCAATGCGCCCGTATTTCAATGCGTGCACACGTTTGGATACAGAACACACTCTGCAGAAAATCGAAGTTTTTTCTACAACCCTCAAAATAATGTTTACTTTTTTCAAGTACATGGCTAGATTGTCAAAAACTTTCACTAATTAGAATAGGTTAAAAATATTTATTAGAAAACGAATCATTATTTATTTAACATTTAAACGAAACAAATATACTACATATTACAGATATGCTTCTTAAACGTAAAATATATAAAGCAAAAGGTATTAAAAAACAATATTACAAATAACTCAAAGTTCAAAATCTTAGAAATTCTAGCCTTCAGCACCCAGCGAATGTAAAAATAATAGTTCTGACATTCGTTCAACTGATAATGTTTCAGCTTTGGCAGAGTATTTCCGGCTTCAGAAAAGGATCTCTCTGAGCGAACTGTTGTGCCAACAATAGATAGATATTTATTAGCCAGTTCTTTAAATATTTCCGAGGAAGAACTGGAGCTATTTATCTGTTCCACTTTTTAGGTTAAAAGTAAAAAAAAATGTTTTTGAAAATATATCATTCCTTATATCATTTAGTTTTTTGATTTATGTAATGGTGTATCTGTTATCTGTGACTGTATCTGATTCTTTTTTTTAAATTAAAAAAATGCCTACTCTTGTTATAATAGATTTTTCATTATTGTTATTCAACATTGTTTATATCTCCCCAAATTTTGTATTATAATTTTGTTTGGTCCTGGTTGGTATGAAAAGCAGCTTTTAGCTCACACCCGCCAGGTTAAATAAAGGCTATTATTATTATTATTATTCGTTTTTGGTTGGTCTTTCACCGTTACATACGGGGTATGTACACAACAGGGGAGGAGTTCACCTCAGCCTATTGCGAAGAACTTGCGAACTATGTGATATGTTTGCAAGATTGCGGCTTTCTGCATCAATGCAATAAAATGCGCTGGAACTTTGATTTTCTCTAAGTGAGAGTGGAGATTTACAGAGACTGCCCCTTCCACAGACACTACTACTGGTATTATGCAGACCTCTGATAGTTTCCAAATGTTTTTGATTTCAATGGCAATGTTTTGGTACTTTTCAGCCTTGGTGTATTCGGTTCTGATTATGTTTACTGTGAGTGGAACTGCGATATCAATTATGTATGCTTTCCGTTTATTTTTATCGATCAGTAGTATGTCTGGTCGGTTATAGTCAATTGTTTTATCGGCAATGACTGGCCTGTCCCAGTACAATAGGGCCGTCTGATTCTCGAGTACTGGGAATGGTGTATATTTATAATATGGCGCGGTTGACTGAATGAGATTATAATTTTGAGCTAACGTGGAGTGTATTATTTTGGCTGCTTGATTATGCCGGGATAAGTAAGCACTATTGGCCAACATGTTGCAGCTGGAGGTGATGTGTTCTATTGTTTCACCTGGCGTATGGCATTTTCTACATACGTCGTGTGTATTCAGGCCTAGTAGACCTTGGTAAATGCCTCTGTTGATTTGGACGTTGCCTAGCTTAACTTTGTCCATAACTAGCGTGGAACTCCATTGTTTCATCCAAGTAGTTAAACATGTTCGTATTGCAGGGTTGATCTTATATAGGCCCAGCACCTTAAGTAACCAATCGTGAGGAACAGAATCAAATGCTTTGCTATAATCTAAATAGCAAGTATACATATTTCGTTGTTTTAGTTCTGCACTTTTAACTATTATGGCATCTAATGTTCCTTCCAACCTTTCGATTTTTTAATGCATCCCTTCTGTTCATCTGCAAATGTCTGGTTGGCCTCGCAGTCTTCATAAATCTTTGAACTTAAAATAGCGGTTAAGAGCTTATAAAGTGTCGATAAACAGGTTATGGGGCGGTAATTACTTGGCTGGAGCGGGTCTCCTTTCTTATACAATAGATATGTAAAGTATTTTGGAAGACTACTTGGGTCGCTAATATATTACATTATTATTATTATTATTATTATTATTATTATTATTATTTTTTAAATAGCCGTAGGGCTTTGTTACTCCCGTTAATCGGGGTGTTCTGGCTTAACCCGGACGCTTCAAGCATCAAAGGGGTAAGCCTCAATAGTGACCTCCCTAGGTACTTGCATTTCCCATAAATTTTCTTACTATGCGGGCAGTTGCCAGCAAAACTCCTTTCTGTATGATTTTGTAAATGTTTTCACTCAGTTCCAGCGCTTTGATGTTTTCTAGCAGCCTTCTTGGTATCACCCCTGTAGATGACATTATTATTGGTATTGTTTCCACGTACTTCATTTTCCACTGGCGTTTAATTTGAAATTCTAGCTCCCTGTATTTTGCAACTTTCTCATTATGTTTGTATGTTAAATTGTTACTATTAGGTATGGCCACATCAATCAGTGTTACTTTCTGGGCGTCCTTGTCGACAATGATTATGTCAGGTCTGTTTTGTTTTACGTATTGGTCCGTAAGCACAGTGCGATCCCAGTATAGTTTATACTTGTCGTTCTCGAGGACACATTGCGGTGTATATTTGTAGTACTGTAGCTTGCATTCGATCAGTTTGAATTTGTATGCCAACTCCTGGTGAATGATTTTGGCAGCTATGTCGTGGCGCTCCTTATAGTCCGTTGGAGCGAATGCTTGGCATCCACCAGTTACGTGCTGTATTGTTTCGGAGTCCTGACAGCCGTACCTGCATTTATCAGACTGTTGCAAGTTCTTAAGTATGAACCTCTTGTAATTGTTGGTAGGAATGACCTGGTCCTGTATAGCTACAAGGAATCCCTCAGTCTCAGGGAACATTTGGCCTGAGGTAAGCCAATAGTTTGACGCTTTCTTGTCAACGTTTTCTTGGCTAATCTCGTTGGCATGTCTCCCATGTAGAGGTTTTTCAATCCATCGTTGTAGCTTCTGTTCGTTGGTTTGGTGACTCGGTTGGTCATCTCGTCTATTAAGGTGTAAGGGCGTTGTGTCATCTATTGAGCATATGATGCGATGCAGCTCAGAGATCTCGGCCTTCTCAAAGAAGTAGGATCGCAAGGCGAGTACCTGTTGAGCTAGCTGCTTGCTGATGTCCATTAGACCTCTTCCTCCTAACTGTCGGGGTAAGGTTGTGCGCTCTATTGCACTGCGAGGATGGTGCGCTCCTTTTTTTGTTAGCATAGTCCTTACCCGCCTCTCTAGTTTCTCGATGTCAGTTTTACTCCACAGAACTATACCGAACGAGTAGTTCAAGGCAGAGCATGCGTAGGTGTTAATCGCCTTGACTAGATTCTTACTATTGAGTTCTGTTTTCAGAAGTAGCCGTATTCTTTTTGTGAAGGTCTGCGATATAGCTTCCTTCATTTTTTTATGGTCTATCCTTCGGGCCTGCGCCATTCCAAGGTACTTGTATGTGTCATTTGCGTCCATTGCGTCAATGTTTTGGCCTCTGCAGCTTGAAAATCCTCCAGGGTAGATGTTCCCCCTACGTATAGATAAGGTTTTGCATTTATCCATCCCAAATCGCATACTTATGTCATCTGAGAACTGACCGACTATCTCTAGCAGCTGTTTCATTTGATTCTCAGTAGCAGCTATTACCTTTAGGTCGTCCATATACAGCAAGTGGTTCAGTTTTATGGATGCGTTCCTGTTATCTTTCAGACTATATCCATACCCTGTTGCATTTAAGAGGTTTGAGAGGGGATTTATAGCTAGGCAAAACCATAGGGGACTTAATGAATCACCCTGAAAGAGACCTCTTCGGATAGAGATCGTCTCAGTTTGAATGGTGCTGGTCCCGTTTGTATGCAGTGTTATTCTGGTTCTCCAGGTCTTCAGCATATGTTCTAATAGGGCCACTACATGCTCATCTACCTTATAGAGCCTCAGCACCCTGACAAGCCACTCATGAGGTACAGAATCGTATGCCTTCTGATAGTCGATGTACGTAATGTATAGGTTCCTTTTGTTGGTATAGGCTTGGTTACAGATGACTGAGTCGATAGCCAGCTGTTCTTTGCATCCCATAGCTCCCTTAGCACAGCCTTTTTGTTGTGGCGCAATAATATCGTTTTCTTCACAATGAGCATAAATTCGCTTCGATATACAAGCAGTGACCACCTTGTATAGCGTAGGAAGGCAGGTAATTGGGCGGTATTTTGCTGGGTCTTCTGTATTATTGTGATCTTTTGGTATTAATACCGTTAGCCCTTGTGTTAGGAACGTTGGAGTCTTATTTGGATTCAAAAGCATGTCATTGATATATCTTGTTAGTTGTTCATGCATGCACCAAAGCTTCTTTATCCAGTAGCCATGAATCTGGTCTGGGCCCGGGGCCTTCCAATTATGCAACTGCTTAACGATATCCACGATTTCTTGTTTGGTATATGCCCTATACTGCATGGGATTGCAATAATGGCTCTTCGCTTCTTCATCTGTAATCCATCCTGCACACTTGTTGTAATAAGCTGTCGAGCCAAACTGCTTGCCCCAAAATTCCTCTACTTGGTCCTTTGTGGGCACCGTTTTGCTCTTTTCCTGGGGTTCGGATGACAGTTTCCTGTAGAATGCCTTTTCGGATCGTTGAAAGAGCGCATTGTCGTGCTTTCTGTGACTGGACGCTTTATACCTTTTCAATCGCTGAGTATATACGGACAGTTTTTGCTTCAAGGTATCAAGGCATTGCCACTCGTTGATGTTAGTTGCGTCTTGGTGAGAATGATGGTGGAGTCGTTGCATTATTTCCATAGCTTGCTTTCGGACTTTTCGAGTTGTTATTCCTCGTGTGAATTGGGTAAGACGTCCGATATCTCTGCGAATTTCTGCCGTTCTTCTTTCCAGACGTTTTTCCCATTTTGGTGTTATTGGTTTTACTGAATTTTCAGTAATCTTTTGAGTTGGCATTTTGACACCAAGTGTTCTTACTGTTGCAACAGCTGCACAGTATATCAGTGTGTGAAGTTGTTCTATACAGTTGGAGTGTGCTAGATACTCTGGCAGGATCTGTTTATTTAACTGACACAATACCACAGCAAGCTTTCTAGATGACTTCAACTTTGGTAATGGTGGTCTTTCTAGCGGGTTCGTTCCATCAAATTCGGCATATGCTCTACCCATTTCAGTTATTAATATACCAAATATTTCTGTGTCTTGATCATTACTGTCGTCAACTCCAGGCTGTTCACTTTCTATCTGTTCTTGCTCAGATTGACCATTATCGCGTATTTCGTTATTACTCCCTTCTTGTTGCATAAGATCAAGCTGCACTTCCTGTTTGATGGCATTCAGCCGTGGTTGTGGGATAAGATTATTTTTGATTATCACTCGATATTGGTCTGCCACTCTCTGCTGAGATACTTTGATCTCCGGATATTCACTACAGAAAGCGGTATGAAGTCGTGGTCTGTAGCCGATTGTTTCTCTACCTAGGTTGGTAACTTTGTAGAAGATTCGCATGATTGACTCATTCATGGACACCGTCCACTTTATACGTCTTCTAGGGAGACCTGCTTGAGTGAGCACTGGCTGAGATTCCTGTGCAGCACTTTCGGCAGCGGTGGCACTAGTTGTTGTTTGGCTACCACTTTGTTGGGGGGCTGTTGCTTCTTGGACGACAGGGGCCCGCCTCCTCAGCACCCTGCCACCGACGTCCCGCATGCTGTCATATCCAGCGCCGGCTCCAGATATGCCCTGACGATCACCCTCAGGCAGCGACCTTTTTCCGAGGCTATATTCAAAATTCATCTCCATAAAGAAATTATGGGTGTGGCTCTTTTTATACGACTCCATCTAGGAGCCGATATGTACACATTCTGCACATGATATGTTTTCCTGCACCAGGAGGAAGAGACACAAAAACCCCTGGCACACACTGGAGGATCGCTGGCTGTACCGTCTATCCTTGTTGTTGCTACGGTAGCGGGTTTGACACTGCTGGCAACAGTGTCCTAACCGGCCAGACATTATTATTATTATTATTATTATTATTATTATTATTATTATTATATATTATTATTCTTATTATATATTATATTATTATTATTATTATTATTATTATTATTATTATTATTATTATTATTATTATATTATTATTATTATTATTATTATTATTATTATTATTATTATTATTATTATTATATTATTATTATTATTATTTGTTTATTTTCCACAGCCCTATCTATTCAACTGGTTCTGTCCATGTGGGCCGGTTTTGGTTGGTCATTTTCATTATGGTACTTCGAAGATGTTACCCACATCCTAACGAAGTCCATTACCTTATAGTGTCTTACGTAATATGGTTGCTGTACCATACAAAGCAATTTCCTGCACGTCTGCTGTCCTGTGCCTTCCTGGTATGAGATTTAGGTTTTCATGTAGATTGTCTGGATCGTCCCTAATGCACCTAAAATTACGGGAACTATCTTCGTCCTCAGATTCCACATTCTTTGGATTTCAATTGAGAGATCTTTGTATTTCAATTTCTTTTCAGCTTCTTTGTTTACAACGTTTTCATCGTTGGGGACTGAAACATCTATTAGCAGGCAGGTTTTGTCACGTTGGTTTTTGACGATTATGTCTGGACGGTTCGCGGATATCTCACGATCTGTTTGCACTGGTAAGTCATATATTATGGTAATCTCATCTTTACTAACTACTGGAGTGGGATTGTGATTATACCATTTTTCTTCCACTGCGATCCCAAAGCTTATACAGATGGCATGATGCAAGTATATGCATATTTTATTATGTCGGACCAAGTACTCGTGCTTCGCCAGTTGAGGACAGCCGGATATAAGATGATCTATTGTTTCTGAGTATTGTTTGCACATTCGACATCTATCATTTGCTGTTATTTTGAGGATATGTTTCTCATAATGTCTTGTACGTAAGGCCTGGTCTTGGGCGGCCGTTATCAGGGCCTCTGTTTCACCTTTTACCTTCCCTCTCGTGAGCCACGCAAACGTTTGGCATTCATTAATCCCTGGCCTCTTAATTCTCTTCACGTATTGACCATGAAGCTGCTTTCGTATCCATTTATCCTTCAAGGTCTTCCTTGTCATGGCCTTAATATCTGTAGATAGTAATTCTTCTTCATCCTCGACCGCTTGATTTTCTATTTCCGGTAAATGTGTCTTTACAATTTTTATCGCTGACTTCACTACTGACTTTCCAACTCGAGGGTGCCTTTCACATCTCCAAATTTGTCTAACTAACTTATCATTTCTACGGCTTCTTAAATAATTGGCTATGGATACAACTGTATTATCATAAGTCATCTCTAATTGCCTGAGTCCTCTACCTCCTTCTTTACGACTCACATATAGCCTGTCTACATCAGCTCTAGGATGCAGCTGTCCATGAATAGTAAGCATCTTCCTTGTTTTACGATCTAGGTCTGCAATTTCCTTCTGACTCCAATCTATGATTCCAAAACTGTATTCTACTATTGGAACAGCTATACTGTTGATGGCTAGCAGTTTATTTCGTGCTGTTAAGTCTGAACGTAGTACCATCCTAAGCCTTCTTAGATATTCTTTACTGATGGTCTCTTTCATTTCATCATTACACAATTCTGGGTTTTCATAAACTCCAAGATATTTATAGCTTTCTCCAGCATCTAGGTTTTTGATGGTAATATTTGCCTGGACTGTTATGTTTTCCGTTTTTTCCACTTTTCCGTTCTTTATTGTCGCTTTGGCGCACTTATCTAATCCGAAGTTCATATGAATTGTGCTACTGAAGTCGTGAACTATCTTAATTTGCTCTTCAAGCGCTGTGTCCGAACTCGCGTATAGCTTTAAATCATCCATGTACAGAAGATGTGTTGTTGGCTGCTCATCTTTGAGTAGTTTATATCCCAATTTTGGCTTTTGATTTAGCATTCTGGACAGGGGGTACATCATCATGCAGAACAGGAGAGGTGATAGTGAATCTCCTTGGAATATTCCAGATTCGATTTTAATCTGCGGGGTATTATTGATAGGTGCATCCTTAGATTGTATCTTTAGCTGGGTGTTCCATTCCTTCATACTTTTTTCACACAGATTGATGATGTTTGGGTCAATTTTGAATATTTTAAGTATTTTCAATATCCACTGGTGTGGTACGCTATCGTAAGCTTTTTGATAATCTATCCAGCATAATGATAGATTTTTCTTTTTACTGTGTACGTCCTTCATTATCTTTTTGTTATATAATAGTAGATCTTTACATCCGTATGAACCTTTGCAGCATCCTCGTTGCTCAGCTGGAATCAACTGTTGAGCTATTAGGTGGTCATATATACGAGATGACATTATCCCAGTTAGTAATTTGTACAGTACGGATAAACAAGTAATGGGTCTGTAATTTTCTGGCTTAGAAGGGTCTCCTTTCTTGTAAATAAGATACGTGATGCCACTATTCATCCACGTGGGCAGATCTTCTTCTCCTTTTAGTATTTTTGTTAAGATTACCGCTAATGTTTTATGGGTGGCACTTATCTTCTTTAACCAGTAATTATGGATTCTGTCAAGCCCACCGGCTTTCCAGTTGGCAGCTTTACTGAGTACATCCTTTATTTCCTTCTCCGTGATGCTTTCACCGGTCGCCATGCGTTCTAGGTGCTGATAACTGTCAATAGTTTCCTTCATCCATTCCGTGTTCTCGTCGATAATTTCCTTCCTGCGCCAGATTTCCGACCAATAGTGTACTACATCTGTCTCTCCCGGCACGTCTTGCGGTGTCTCAGCTTTTCCATTAAGTTCTTGGTATAACCTTCTGGTGTCATATTGGAATAAATAATTCTGTCTGCGGAATGCGACTCTTTTATTATACCGCTTTCTACGTTGGGCGTAAGCCTGTATCTTTTGTTTTAGTTGTTCTTCTACTCTTACCCGGTCTTCTAAATTGTTTATGGTGTATCGACATTTCAATTGTTCTAACTTTCTTCTTGTTGCATTTCTCAATTTTGAGTTATCTTCTTCATGGAGGATTGAGAGATCGGATCTGAGTTTTGTGATCTTGGCCTCTATTCGCTTCTCCCAGGGGGCAGAAGTCTCGGTGTATCTATTTTGTAGGTGTCTGATTGGTTCTTCAGTTAATTTTTGATGTGGGCTTACTTTCATTGTTACTATTTTTGCTGTCGCATACAATAGGTGGTTAACCTCCGTAATATTTTCAATCAGTGTTTCTTCCAAGATTTGTGAAACTGCTTCGTTTGCTTGTTTTACTATCATCTTTAGTTTCATGTTATCTTGGAGTTTTGGTAGTTTCAGTCTCTCGTTTATGGGTGAAGATTTCGTAGAAACGTATTCTTCGAGAATCTCCTGTTTGATAGTATTATCTGTTTGATCTTCACTCATATCTTCTGTATCCGGCTCAGTTGTCACTGAGTCCAACTCACGTTGCTCTCTCACTTCGATCCGTATTGCTTCGCTTACTTTACTTTTCATCGCTCTTATCATATTTTCATTAAATTTTCCGCTGTTCAGTAGATATCTGCGCTGCGTTGCGAGCTTCTTGGAATCCATGTACGGTCTGCTATTAGGATTCCTACTTCTCCACATGTTATAAACCTCTGCTTCGCCTATTGATTGCTTTGCATTGGTATAGTGGTAACACCACATCAGTTCGTTAATTTCTTCATAACTCCAAGGCCTTTTAGTAAGTTGATTTATTCGATTCTCCTTAGAGCGTTGTTCAAGTGATGCTGGGCTCTGACCATGTTCATCAGGGTAACCAGCAGCTCTTTCCGGATGGTTTTCTGTGATCGTTATGGTGTTGAGTCCGGTTTGAAGGGTACTTTGTGTTACTGATCTAGAGGCGTATGTTGCATTTGCCTGTGTTACCACAGCTGCGTAGTCTTGGTTTTGTCCATTCTCGTTCCTTTGTCTATAGCCTAGGGTGCTGTTAATCCGGGAGGATGCGCCACCCATCACACCTTCACTCCCTTCAGGCTGAGCATCACGACGGTTTCCGAAGAAGGGACCAGCCTCAATCACCTTCCCGCCTCGTAGTTTCGTCTTACTTCTCGTATTCATTTACAGTTATTATTTTTCACATTGCCTCCGAACAATGGTGCAGCTCAGGGTTTGGCAGAATAAGAAGACTACCAAATCCCGAACTCCCCGTCTAGGGCCGTGGGGGCGACGCTCCCCATGTACCTTCCTTAAGCCCGGGTCGTAGACCCGACCTAAAAGTAGATACCCCCTGCGGGGTTATTATATTATATTATTATTATTATATTATTATTATTAGTATTATTATTATTATTAGTATTATTTATTATTATTATTATTATTATTATTATTATTATTATTATTATTATTATTATTATTATTATTATTATTATTATTATTATTATTATTATTATTATTATTATTATTTATTATTATTATTATTTATTATTATTATTATTATTATTATTATATTATTATTATTATTATTATTATTATTATTATTATTATTATTATTATTATTATTATTATATTATTATTATTATTATATTATTATTATTCTTATTATTCTTATTATTTTATTTTTATTATTTCTTTTATTATTCTTATTATTATTCTTATTATTATTATTCTTATTATATTATTCTTCTTATTAGTATTATTTATTCTTCTTATTTATATTTCTTCTTTTATTATTATTATTTCTTATATATTATTATTATTATTCTTATTCTTATTTTTATTCTTCTTTCTTAGTTCTTCTTCTTATTATTCTTTTCTTCTTATTATTCTTCTTATTATTATTTTCTCTTCTTCTTCTTCTTATTCTTCTTCTTCTTCTGCTTACTTCTTATTATCTTCTTTCTTCTTCTTCTTCTGCTTATTCTTCTTCTTCTTCTTCTTCTTCTTATTCTTCTTATTCTTCGTCTTCTTCTCGTCTTCTTCTTCTTCTCTTCTTCTTTTCTTCTTCTTTCTTCTTCTTCTTCTTATTCTTCTTCTTCTTCTCTTCTTCCTTCTTCTTCTCTTCTTCTTCTTATTCTTCTTCTTCTTCTTCTTTCTTCTTCTCTTATTCTTCTTCTTCTTCTTCTTCTTCTTCTTCTTCTTCGTTCTTATTCTTCTTCTCTTCTTCTTCTTCTTCTTCTTCTTCTTCTCCTTATTCTTCTTCTTCTTCTTCTTCTTTCTTCTTCTGCGTCTTCTTCTTCTTCTTCTTTTCTCTCTTCGCTTCTTCTCTTCTTCTTCTTCTTCTTTTCTTCTTCTTCTTCTTCTTCTGCTGTCTTCTTCTTCTTCTTCTTCTTCTTCTTCTTCTCGTCTTCTTCTTCTCTTCTTCTTTTCTTCTTCTTCTTCTTCTTCTTCTTCTTCTTCTTCTTCTTCTTCTTCTTCCGTTTTTCTGTTCGCTCTTCTCTGCCCTGCCGGTGGTCTCCTCCCCCGCGGCCTTCTCCTGCCCCGTCTGCTGTGCCTCTTGGTTTCTCTTTGTCTCTGTGGCTCCCTTCAGGCCCTTGCGTGCTCTGACCCCTCCCTCCGCTCGCGCTTTCTGCGTGCGCGGTCTCGTTTCTGCGGCCGCTTTCGTTTCTCAATATATTTATGTAGACTCTTAGGTATTTCTCCTGTGGCTCCGATCACTATTGGGATGACTTCAACTTTTTCTTGATTCCACAGTGTTTTTACTTCTGCAGCTAATGGTAAGTACTTGCGAACCTTTTCTGTCTGCTTGTCAGCTATGTTATGTGGGGCAGGCACACTAATGTCAATTATGCAGGTAACTTGCTTCATTTTATCTTGAACTACGATATCTGGTTTGTTGTATTCCATGGTGTGATCTGTTTGAATTGTTCTATTCCAGTATATTTTATGGCTGTTAGTTTCTATAACTGGAGTCGGCTGGTACTTGTAATATGGGGTGCGGTCAGTTAGTATATTCGCAGCATAACAAATTTCTTGGTGAACTATTTTAGCCACGTTGTCGTGGCGCTTCAGATACTCAGTGGAAGCTAGGGGAGTGCAGCTCGTCAGGATATGCTCTATTGTTTCCGACTTGTTATGGCATATGCGACATCTATCTTCAATGCCTTCTTCTTTCATGATGTATTTTCTATAGTTTAAGGTTGGTATCACCTGATCTTGAATGCCAATCATGAAACCTTCAGTTTCCGAAAATAGCTCCCCACTCTTCAGCCATCCATGTGACGCTTCTGCATCAATGTGATCTGAGTTGAGCATGGCTGGATGTCTTCCATGAAGCTGTTTGGACTTCCATTGATGATACCATTGTTCGTCGGTGGTCACATGGGTTAGAGGTTCATACTGTTCATCCGACAGGTTCAGTGGTGTGAACTTGTAGTCAGCTGAAGCTATATTTCTGTGATATGCAGATGTTTCGCCCTTTCTATAAAAGAATCTCCTAAGGTTTTCTATATTCCGCAGGTTAGCTGCTTTAAGGTCAATCACGCCTCGTCCCCCTTTGGATCTTGGCAAGTAGAATCTTTCGATCGAACTCTTGGGATGTCTTGCTCTATGATTTGTAAATAAGACTCTTATGTTTCTGTTTAGCTGCTCTAAGTCAGAGTCTGTCCACTTGATTATTCCGAAGCTATATGTTATCGTCGGAATAGCATATGTGTTAATGGCCCTTACTTTGTGTATTGCGGACAGATGAGTCTTAAGTATTGATTTGACCCTACTCGTTAATCTTTGCTTTAGAGCTTCTTTCATATCTTTGTGTTTGATACCCCTTGCTTGATCTAGTCCCAAATATGTATAGCTCTCTTTCTCAGACATGCTTCTTATTGTCTGACCCTGCTCCAACATAAACCCTGGGTGATCTTCCCATATCCCTTTTCTAATAGCCCCAATCTTACACTTGTCCAGGCCAAACTCCATTCTTGTGTCAGCACTGTATTTCTTTATGGTTTTAAGCAACCTGTCCAGTCCATCCTTAGTGGCGGATATTAGTTTGATGTCATCCATGTAAGCTAGATGGCTTATTTGTAGGCTGTTCTGAAGCTTATAACCTTCGTTCTTCTTGTGCAGCATTCTAGATAGAGGTGCTAATACAATACAGTACCATAAAGCACTTAGTGCATCTCCCTGGAAGATACCTCTTTTAATGCTGATGGCACCGATGTTGATATTTTCTTCTTTATGGGTTATTACAAGATTAGTTTTCCATTGAGGCATAAGGTTTTGCAGCAATCTCACTATACTAGGGCTGATTTTATATATTTGGAGCATTTCAATTAATAGAGAGTGAGGAACACTGTCAAAGGCCTTTTTATAGTCAATGTATGCAACATACAGATCTTTCTTACAGCCCTTTGCTTCCTCCGTGATGATTGTATCTATTGTAAGTTGCTCTTTGCAGCCACGACTTCCCTTTTTGCAGCCTTTCTGTTCTTCTGGGAGCAGATGATGCCTTTCAAGGTGCTGGTAAATTTGATCGCATAAAATTGAAGTAATTATTTTATATATGGTTGGAAGACACGTAATTGGCCTGTATTTTGATGGGTCGCTCACAGAAGGGAATGTTTTAGGAAGCAAGTAGGTGTTTCCCGTTGTCAGAAATGCTGGAATGGATTCTGGATCTTGCAAGAGGCTTGTGCAAATCATCGCTAACGTTTCGTGTGTGCAAGTGAACTTTTTGAGCCAATAGTTATGGATGCCATCAGGTCCAGGCGCCTTCCAGTTCTGTGTGTTGTTTATAGATCTTTTAACATCCTCCACAGTTATGACGTTGTAGTGCATCATGGGTATTTTTTCGGTTTTCCTCTTTTCGTCGGCGAGCCAACTTGTTTTATTATTATGAGTCTTAGGGTTCTCCCATAGGTCAGCCCAATATGTTAATGCATCTCTAGCTTCTGGAGTTTTACCCGTAGTACTTACATCTTCGTTTTCCAGTGAGCGATAGAACCTCTTTTGATTCGTTCGAAATATGCTATTTTGTAGTTTTCTTTGATGCGACTCTTTATATCGCTTTAGGCGATTTGCGTATACATACAACCTTTGTTGGAGCTTATCGAGGATCTGTATCGGATTTTGATTATCCTCATCATGATGTCTCTGGGTTATTGTTGTGACTTTATTTCGCAACCGGTTGGACGGGGCATCTGACTTGATGTACTGAACAAGGGGGCCTATAGCTGCTCGTAGATCTTTTATTTTCCCTTCGATCCTCATCTGCCATCTGGGTGTTTGTTCAGTATGTTTGTATGATTGCTTTATCTTTTGATGGTGCAGTTCAATCACAGTATAAGCGCCGGCATAGATTAGGTCATGATAATCAGTTATACCGGTTATGTCACACAACTTGGTCGTCATGAGATGATTTACTCTATTCAAGATATGAACAGTATTCTTATTTGTTCTCAACCGAGGCAGTCTTGGTCTCAGAAAAGGATCTATGCCTTTGAACAGTATTAAATTCCTTTCAAAACATGTTTTCTCTTCAGTTTCTATCTGCCTTATATTTGTGCTTTCACTGCTGGTATTTGCTGTATCCTCTAGCTCGCGTGATGGTTCAGCCTGTCCTATTCCGAGTTCCATCTCCACTTCTCTTCGTATCCGGTTCACTTTATCTATCGATATCCTGTTCGTCGTAAAGAGATGTCGTCGTTGGTCCAATATGTTCTGACGTGTTTTACTTGCTAGATCAGGAAACCTTCCAATCATGGTTTGGTAGAGTTCGACGCTATAGGGGTCCTTTGATGTTTCCATTTGGTGATTTTGAGGTAGGTACGGTAGAGGTATTCATTCATTTCATCACTCCATTTCATCCGTTTCCTACGACTATTATCCTCTTGAGTGGGACGAGCAATTTGCTCGGCAACACCTTCAGAGCTTCGATGTAATCGTTGTTCCATTTCCATCGCCTGTGTGGTGGTAGGTCCAATCCTCGGGTCAGTGCCACCTACTTCACTGGATCCCAAGACAGGCATAGCCTCCTGACGCTTCCGAACAGAGTCAGCCTGAGTCTCTGCCACGCCCAAAACTGTATTTCCTTCTCGTCTTTACAGCGGTTAGAATCACGTTCTACGGGTGCTAACCCATAGAGCGGTAATGCTAGTTTTTGTCCACCCCAGGTATTTAATTTCCCCGGTACCCTCCATATCTGGAGAGAGTTTCCCAATTCGCACAGGGAGGCGCCCGATGGGAGACTAGCAACTCCACGCGGGTTATTATTATTATATTATTATTATTATTATTATTATTATTATATTATTATTATTATTATTATTTTATTATTATTATATTATTATTATTATTATTTTATTATTATTTTTTATTATATTATTATTATTATATTATTATTATTATATATTTTATTATTATTTTATTATTATTATTATTATTCTTATATTATTATTCTTCTTTTTATATTATTATATTATTCTTATTATTAATTTTTTTTTTTTTTTTTTTTTTTTTATTTTTTTTTTTTTTTTTTTTTTTAAGCCCCAGCGGCATCGACTGCTCGGCCATTAGCCGCTTTCCTCCTGCCCATATGGTCAATTGCCACATTCACCACAGGGGTAAATCTGGGTGATTCGGATGTTATGTGATGTAGCTCAGATTTTTTGAATACATAAAAAAGAAGAACAAACACATAAAATTAACTTATTACAGACAAACACAGAAAAAAAAATGTAAATAAGAATACCCACATACGCGTGGGTACCCTGTATTTACTTACTTATCCGACACCAGTGCTTCCTTATCTATCATAGACCTACAGCTATCTAATATATTTCTACATAGTAGTATCTTATTTAATAACGTTATACTTTACGGAAAAGCTTGGTAGATTTAAGGAAATTCAATGTATCTCCTACGTTGGCATTAGAGGATAAACAACCTTTTAAATCACCAGCTATGGTGTGCTCTTCTAGCAGCTATGTATGATGGGCACTCGATCAGTATATGCTTCCAAGTAAGCAATTCATTACACGTCTCACACCTTGGTGGTGGATTACCTAAAAGTATGTGGGAATGTGTAAGAATTGTGTGACCTATTCTCATTCGCGTAATTACGACCTGCTCTCTACGAGTCAGATGGGGAAGATTCCATTTGTTACGTTCGGCTTGATCGTCTTCAAAAAATGGTTTGTTGAGTTCCATTCTTGCTGCCATTCATTAAGTAGCTGCAACCTCATGAATTTTTTCACGTCTTCAGGCACGACTGGTATGTTGAGGTATTCTTCCATTGTGGCTTCCTTGGCAGCTGTATCTGCTATTTCATTTCCATGGATTCCTACGTGTGCTGGCGTCCACACATATATGACCTGTGATTTCTTCTGTTGGAGCTGGTAGGTGGTCAAGAGGATCTCTTGAACTAAGGGGTTTTTACTGAATTTGTCAGAAATAGTTTGCAGTGAGCTCAAAGAGTCACTGCAGATTATGTATAAGCCCTGTTCCTCATCATCAATCAATTTTAGGGATTGAAGTATTGCGTATAATTCCGCTGAGAAAATTGAGGCCATTGGACTTAGGCGCCATTTGCGGGTTATCTCCGTAGTTGTTAATGCACATCCTATGCCCCCTTCGGTTTTAGACCCATCCGCATAAATTATTCTCCTTACGTTTTGGTATTTACCAATTATATCAAGAAATGTCTGTTTATAAATGTAGGATTGGTGTGGCCTTTTTTGTATTTGGCGCATTCGAAGTGAACTTCTGGGAGTGACAGCCTCCATACAGGGCAATCTATGTATTTAAGACTATAGGTTGGGGGCATCTGAGTTTCTAAATCCTCGAGTAGCTTATGGATGCGGGCACCTGCGGGCTTTGTGATGGATGGTCTAGACCGATAAATTGAAATTTCTTCTTCCTCAAATAATATATTGTGGTTAGGGTGCTGGGGTTGTGCCCATATTTTTACGCTATAGTTCAGTAGCAGCTGCTGTATTCTGTAGCTTAAGGGAGGTATGCCTGATTCACAAAAAACGGACGCATTCGGTGATGTCCGGAAGGCACCAATGCATAACCGTATACCCTCCTTGTGTATCTCTCTAATCTACTTAGATGGGATTGTCTTGCTGCTGAGTATACTATTGCTCCATACTCAAACTTGGACATGACTATTGATTTTATAATGAGAGCAAACATCCCTGTCTGCTCCCCAACTGATGCTGAGAGACATTAATATTATTATTATTATTATTATTATATTATTATTATATTATTATTATTATTATTATTATTATTATTATTATATTATTATTATTATTATTATTATTATTATTATTATTATTATTATTATTATTATTATATTATTATATTATTATTTTTATAGCCGTAGGGCTTTGTTACTCCCGTTAATCGGGGTGTTCTGGCTTAACCCGGACGTTTCAAGCATCAAAGGGGTAAGCCTCAATAGTGACCTCCCTAGGTACTTGCATTTCCCATAAATTTTCTTACTATGCGGGCAGTTGCCAGCAAAACTCCTTTCTGTATGATTTTGTAAATGTTTTCACTCAGTTCCAGTGCTTTGATGTTTTCTAGCAGCCTTCTTGGTATCACCCCTGTAGATGACATGATTATTGGTATTGTTTCCACGTACTTCATTTTCCACTGGCGTTTAATTTGAAATTCTAGCTCCCTGTATTTTGCAACTTTCTCATTATGTTTGTATGTTAAATTGTTACTATTAGGTATGGCCACATCAATCAGTGTTACTTTCTGGGCGTCCTTGTCGACAATGATTATGTCAGGTCTGTTTGTTTTATGTATTGGTCCGTAAGCACAGTACGATCCCAGTATAGTTTATACTTGTCGTTCTCGAGGACACATTGCGGTGTATATTTGTAGTACTGTAGCTTGCATTCGATCAGTTTGAATTTGTATGCCAACTCCTGGTGAATGATTTTGGCAGCTATGTCGTGGCGCTCCTTATAGTCCGTTGGAGCAAATGCTTGGCATCCACCAATTACGTGCTGTATTGTTTCGGAGTCCTGACAGCCGTACCTGCATTTATCAGACTGTTGCAAGTTCTTAAGTATGAACCTCTTGTAATTGTTGGTAGGAATGACCTGGTCCTGTATAGCTACAAGGAATCCCTCAGTCTCAGGGAACATTTGGCCTGAGGTAAGCCAATAGTTT